AGACAAAGGGAGGAACGATGCCAAGAAGAAGGAGACCAAGGAGGCGCGACAGTGAAATCGGCTGTGTGGGCTGTGTGGTCTCTGCCTGCAGCCCCCGAAGGGGGATAAAATGCCCTCTCAGACATTTTTTTACTCAGTTGACAAAATTGGAGTACTGGCATTGTATCAATGCTAAATTTTCTGAGTTTTATAATTATACCATGGAAGGTGATATCCATGTTCTTTGGAAAATCCATACCAAAGCACAAGGGGCTCCAGATGTGATCTGTGTTGCTTACTCTAAAGTGATTCAAGCCAGGTGTGTCAGGACCCCTGTGGAGTCCCAGACACACGGCAGGCTAAGGTGGGAAGGGTTGGCTGAGCCCAGGAGTTCTAGACCGCCCGAGCATCAGAACAAGAGTGGCAATAGTAATAATCAGAATAAAGTAAGATTTGGGGTTTTTGGGGGGGTGGTCAAGGCAGGGTTTCTCTGTGACTTTAGATGCTGTCCTGGAACTAGCTCTTGTAGACCAGGCTGGTCTCGAACTCACAGAGATCCGCCTGCCTCTGCCTCCCAGTGCTGGGATAAAGGCGAGTACCACCAACGCCGGGCTAGTAAGATTTGTTTTTTTTGTTTGTTTGTTTTTGTTTTAATATTCCTGTGTGGAAGAAAGAAACGAAGCTAGGAGGAGGGAGAGAAAATGAACGTCAACCTTGGTGCGGTTGTGGAGGGCAGCAAGAATCAGGCGCAGTACCAGGCGGTGGTGGCCACACCCTTAATCCCAACATTCCAGCAGCAGAGACAGGTGGGTCTCGGAGTTTGAGGCCAGCCTGGTCTACAGAGCGAAACGCAGAGAAACCCTGTCTCAAAGAAACCAAAAAGAAAAAAAAGAAAGAGTCAGGGAAGGCAGTCCTGGAGGAGGAGCCTATGATGAAAGCTGGGGGTGGAGAAACAGGGTCAACAGGGCGGCATCAGGCAGGTACCCCAGGTGGGGCACAGGCTTGAGAACCAGCTCACCACCCAAGGGCATTAGATGCGTGACTTCAAGAGGAACCGTCACACTTTCTTGCCATGCCACCCAGTCTTTTACCTGTCCCAGGCGCCCCCTCCACACCCCGTTCTAAAGGAGAGGCTGTCCCAGGCGACCCTTGCTTCCTCGGGTGGGTGCTGTTGAGGACCTGGCTTGGGGCCGCAGAGGGGTGGGTCTCTGTGCTCAGAGTCTTGCTGGTGTGAGCTCCTGTGTGCTGGCCTGTCTGTAACATGCCATGCCCGGCTACTGGGAATGGCCAGGAAAAGCTGCTTTGTGAGTTGATTGAAAAATGTGGGCGCCCTCCACCTGTTTACTCTGCTGTCACTCTGGGGAGACCCAGAGAGACCTGGAGGGAGGGAAAACAGAAGAGTGAGGAAAGGATGGATGGGGTGAAGATTAGGAAGGGCATGAAGTGGGGACCCGCCCCTTAGAAACAGGGAGGGCTAAAAGGCTCTCACTTCTCACCCTGTCTGGGATGCCTTCTCTATCGTGTTCCCAAACCTTGTCCCACATGGCTTGTGGGTCCTGGAACCCTGGCTAGGGCCATCAAGGGAATGAAGAAAGGACAGATCCACGCAAAGGGAGGCTAAGGTCTGGTTGTGGGGTTTGCGCTTGGATAGAGGACACTTGCAGCAAGCCCCGGAATCTACTTACTAGGTATAGCATGGGAGCTGATAGTGAGTTTGGGCAGGCAGGCTCTGTATGTAAGATGTCTCAGGCTGTCCACATCCCAGAGGATGACACAAGGTAAATCATTTATAAACACTCACACTTGGACCCCTGAGGAAAGCTTGGCCATCCCTCTTGAGCCTCACTTGGGTTAGGCTTTGCCACGTCCGTGGAACTGAGGCACTGGAGCCCTTGACATGGCTGGCTACCCTGCACTTGACTCACTCATGGCTTCCTCTACCACAGATGTTCAAGACAATGTATGGGACTGCACCCCTCTGTCAATGACCTGCTGTGTAAACCATTTGTGTCCTTCCCTGTTGCCTGGGCTGTCAGTAGCCAGGGATGTTCAGAACATCAGTTCACAAGCGATTAAAACACACTTTGAAAAGGTACAGAAAGGCACACAGTTTGGTGCCACTGTCTTTACTGAAGGGGTATGTGTTGACACTTTCCAGTCACAAACTTGTCACCCTGTGTGTGAATGTCTTGAACATGCTGCGATAGATAATTACCATAGGTTTTTAGAGATGCTCGTCAAATCGTGGCTGAGCACTCTGCAGGCAAATGCGTGCTTTTTGATGATATTCTTTGGGGCTCCAGCCAAAGGCCCCCCTGCCCTAAGTTAATGAGTTTGGCTCTGAAGGGCCAGCAGAATCACTGCTGCTCCTAACACTGTAAGTATTTATGGCAACCATAGAAATATTTGGGAATTTAAGTAAAGAAGTATTTAAATTACATAAAAAAATTGAAACTAGGTAGCCCAAGACCTAACCTTGCTCTTTTAAGAGTTTGGATTAGCCATCTGACTTACATCTGTGTGGACTCTCTGAGTGCCGAGAAGTAGGCTACCCCCCCCCCCCCGTGGGTTTATTTTCACCGTGGTGAATGGCAGTATTAGGTCATAGGAGCTGTGATGTTTGAATTCACAGAAGGGATGAGTACATTTATGTGACAGACTGCCAGTGAGAATTAGAGGAGTCGTTAGACCATGTAACAGGATCCTTACCACTCCCCAAGTGACTCCTCAGCACCCCAGCTGCCCACCCTGCTCTGTAATGGGGAAGCAGCAGCATTGGTCCTGATTAGAACCCAGCGGAGGGGACACTGACTGATCAGGTGCCTTTATCAGGACAGTGATTCACAACTTGGGCTATTTGGAGCCTGCAGTAGAGATAACTTCCTTGGCTGTCAGTTCCCCGGGACCACATTCTAACATCCGTAAGTTGACGGTCAGCCTCCCTTCTTGCCCTAATTTCCCACGAGCGAAGGAATGCCATCTGTTGAGAGTATTCGGTTGTTTTCCTACCTTCAGTATGTCCATCTGTATTTACCAACAAAGGGGCAGCTGCCTCAAAAGCAGCAGCAAAGCCTTGCTTCCCTGGGATGTTCTGAATACCCATTTCTTCATTCCATTTGACAAATATTTATTGAATGACTACTATGCTAGGCACTGCCCTAAGCCCCGGGATTGTTGGAAGAAACAAGGCAGGCAGAAATCTCTGGTCTTACAGGGTTTAAGTGGCAGCAATCTGTTCTAGATACTTGTGTTTTCTCACAAACTAAAGAGCCAATGTCGTTGTGCTCCCTGAGCAGCTCCTTCCCTTTCTGTCTTCACCCACTAGTGATTGAACCCAGTGCCTAGTGCATGCCAAGCTAGTCCTCTAGTGCTGAGCCACGTGCCAGCCAACCGGGCACTGCCAATCTTCTTTCCTTGGTATTCCTTTGGTCTTAAGGCTTTGGAAAACTCTTTTCTCTGTGTCCTGACACTAAGCAGAGTTGAAAATCTTCAGCTCCATCTCTGGATATTGAGATTCCCCTGGAGGGCCACCAGTCTGCACATCTAATCGTTTTGGCATGCATGAATCAAGCAAAGTGTATATTAACCAGGCTGGCTCATGCCTCTAGCTTGCTTTCCATCTTTGAGAATTCTCTCTCAAGGTAGCATAACCTGAGCTGCTGGAGGGCTAGTATTCTGAAGGCTCTGATGCCGTTATCCTTTCTAGATGGATTTCAGTCTTTCCTCTCCGTGGAAGTTATAGCCATTATAGTCACAATAGTCTGATGAGAAATTTGAGGCAGTGGGGGAGGGATTTGCAGAGCTCTGAGACAATGTGAGATGTAGCCTTGGCATGTCTGCCAGGCTCCCAAAGCCTAAGTTGGGGAGACAAGAAGCGGAGGGGGTGGGTATTTCATGTGAGATCAGTAGGATTGGGTCAGGCCAGCGCTAAGTGCTGGAGAACAGACACCCCAGTGCACATTGCCCTCCAGTGACATGGGGGGTCGGGGCTTAGGCCACAGGGATGGGGCCTTATCCAATATGGAGCTCTAACTGAGTTTCTGAGCCTACCTGACATGGGGGTCATCAAAATAAGACTGCATCATGAAAGTAACGATACACAAAGCACCTACTATGTGTGAGGCACTGTGCTGTTCTACCAGTATGCTTCCATCACAGTTTCATTGCTCCTCTTGAAGTAGGTGGTACAGCTTCTGTACACAGAGAAGTGGCCCAGAGAGGCTGAGCAACATGGCTGCGGAACTTAGAGCTGATGCAAACACGCCGCATTAGTAGCTTCCTCCTGCTGCTCTACTTGACCGCCTCTCCACAGGCACCCTGGTTGTATTTCCTAGGAATTCATGCTTCCATGTGGTAAATAGGAAGTTAGATATTCCTTCCTCGTTAGTACATTCCTGCTCACTCAGTGCACTGTCTTTCACTCCTCCCAGTAGTAAGGTGCTCAGACTTCAAGCATGTGTGACCCTGATTTGCTATGCAGTCTTGGTCAAGGTGTATCGGGGTCTTACTCTCCATCTCCTCATTTGCCTCCGCCGCATAAAGTCAGGACAGCCAAAAGCAACATTGGCTCTCCTGGTTACAGCTGCTCTGAGAAGCTTTCGTTGGCTTCTGTCCCCACCTGCTGAGTCAGAAGTGGGCCAATCCCCCCCCCCAGGACCCCATCCTGTCCTTGTGGAGAGGCTGCAGTTAAATTTGTGTCTTTGTAGCCTGCTGATCAATCCCAGCTCACTGTTAGTCCTAGGTCAGACATTGCCACGATGTCCCATCAAGGCAAGACGATTGTCAGTACAGTTGTCTCTACTTGAAGTGATGGTGACCTTGCCCCAGCTGTCCCTGGAGGACAGCGGCTTGATGAGTAAGTCCCAAAGCTTGCTAGATGTGGCTCAGCATTTCCCACACAGCCTTGAGCAGACGGACCCCAGTGTGGTCCTTAGGACTTGGTTGGACTCAAACGTTCTGACAGTCAGTCCTGAATGTGTCTCTCTGCTATTTGTTTTGCTAATTTGTGTTTCCTTTTACAGCGAATGACAAGATTGAAGACATCAATGGCTGTCCAAAGAACAGATCGCAAATGGTAAGTGCGTCCTTTGGAAGTGTTTGTGTAAGGTGAGCATGCTGTGACTCTAAAAGACCTGGCCAGCTTGAAAAGCATTCACACCAGAAGCCCTGCTCCTTGGGGTTATGTTAATTCACCATCAGCCACCCCCGTGTAGCTATGCTTTCTGCTCCTGACACATTTGTTGGCATTCATTAAGAAATGGCTGTGACATTTGTATAGATTGTCAGGCTGCAAAAATGAAATATCCTTTATGTGGAAAATAAGTCACACAGCATGGGCACAAACGCATGACTCAAAGATCCGTGATCATTTCTGCCTGGGTGGGGTGCAGAGACTCAGACGGGGTGGTGGGTTCCTACTGATCAGTGTAGGACATGTGATCTGGTTGTCAGGAAAGGTGAGAGTTGGCATTGCGGTTGTGACAAATGAACGTGACGTCTCGGCTCTGCCCAGCAGCCTTGACAAGTGATATCCTCACTAGGGTGATGCGTTAGAGCTTTAAAAAAGGCAGAAGCCGGTCTTTAGCTAGTTTAGCATGTTCTTTCTCCACGCTATCGATTACTGTTTTGGGAGAACGGGGTCTGTGATGTGGGAGCTCTAGCTGTTTCACTCAGAGAATGCATGCTGTCAGAGTCTGGTAGAATATTCAAAAATCTGGATGTGGATTTGCTTCCAGAAATCTAAAGGAGGACATAAAATAGTTTTCCATCCCCACCCTACTCCCCACTGCTTGACAGGTGTCACAGACATTCCAGAGTGCCTGGCATTTCTCGAGCTCCCTTTAATTTTTTGACATGTTTGTATCCTGAGTAATTGGGCAGAAGGCAGCCTTCTTAGACAACTTTATTATTTGTGTGTGTGTGTGTGTGTGTGTGTGTGTGTGTGTGTGTGTGTGTGTGTGTCGGAGTGTCATGTTCCAGCTTACATTCTGAAGCAACTTTGTTTTGGGTGAGCCCCCGAGGCCTTGTCTCTTTCTGTTTGATCTACAGACCAGCCATTCCTTACGTAGGAAAATCCCCAGACAGGACTCTGAGAACTGCTCTGACTCTTGGGAAGCCTTGGCTGCTATTTTTGCTAGTGCTACTGCAGCTGTCTAGTGTATTAATAATTGAAAAATTTTGGACACTAGAAGACTTAATTTTAGTGCAAGCATTTTACATACACGGGTCTATCTTCATGTGAAAGAGGGACATTCCTTCCCTCTAGGACAGACATCAATACATGTGTCCTAGCCTGTTGTCATGTGTGTAGAGCTGACATTTGAAGGTAGGCTACCTTTTATTTTATTTGGTATAAATGTATATTTTGCATGGTTTATTGGAGATGCTGCTTGTTATTAAAGTCTACTTTCAAGTTTATAAAATATCACCGTCTCAGACTCTTCTGTGAAGTGTTATTTTTATCTGCAAATGTGTTTGTTATAAATACTGTCACAACAGCAAGGCAATCCTGTGGCTTCCCCACAGCTCAGCTATGTTAGCGCTGGAAGGGGGCAGCATGGGGTGTTTTTCTTTTTTTAGAGCAGCAATATAACATTCTTTAATTGCCTGTGATAATTGGTTACAGTCTGGAGTGAGGACGCAGACAGAGTCTCTTGGCAAACACAGCAGAGAAGGGTTCAGCAAAGATTCTGTGTGTCTCAGAAAATGAAGACTGTATATGATAGCCATTCTCTTCTGTTGAAAATGAGGAGCATGGGGATATATACCACAAGGATATTGTTTTTTACAGTAACCTAAAACGGTGACAAGCGCATGAGTCAGAGCTACCAGGTCATGTAGGAAGTGAGGTGTTACTTTGACAGACCTAATTATTATGTGTGTGCATGTATACATGTGTGTGCATGGTGTGTGTGTGAACATTCACACAGAGTTAAAATGTCTGTACTCCTGTCAAATGTAATTTGATAGTGTGCCAGTTACCATCTCTAAGTTCCTAAAAAGCTAATCTCCTGGGTTAGGCATTATTATTTATTTTTATTATTCTCCTCCCCTACCAGACATATCCCACTGACCCTTAAGTAAGTTTGTGTGTGTGTGTGTGTGTGTGTGTGTGTGTGCATCAAAGCTGGTTGAAATGTTTTGGCGCTATGGTGTTGCCATGGCAACCGAGGGGGCATCTCTTTGGTTTCCAAATGATTTGTTCAGCAGAATTAAGCATTAGTTTGGAAGAAAAAAAAACAAACCATTGCTTGGGACTCAGCCAGAGGGTACTAAGCAGCCACTGGGTTGCTCTTTCTCGCCTGTAGCTCAAGGCCCCATGAGATATCTGGGGCTCTGTTCCCTGTGGAGCCTTGGACTAGCCAGTGACAGGCAGGCGATGGTTTCTCTTTTAATCATTATTTTAAGCAGCTTAGCCCTCTGGCCTCCTTTGGGGAAGGCATAGAGCTGGGCCTTTTGGAAAGGGGACTCTGACTCACCCCTGCCTTTCCCTCCAGCCAGGCCTCCATCCCAACTGCCCGCTTGCCCCTCTGTGGCTCCCTGGGAATCTTCTTGCCTTTTCCCCTGGAATACGTAGGTTGAGGACTGCCTGGGTTATGAGCCAGGCAGGGTTCAGCTCCTTCCTGCTGTTCTGTGGCCTGGAATTAATTGTTTTTGAAGCCTCTAGTTTCCTGTCCTGTGAAATGAAATGATAATAGCACACAGCTCGTAGAGTTTTTGTGTGTGAACTAGTGGGACCACGGAAATGCTGCTAACTCACAGCGATTACAATGGTAAAGCACACTAAAGCAGACAGGGTTTGCCCCAGGGGCTGCTAGAGGACTGGGTAAACATCCTGAGTTCATCTCCTTGCAGTGGGCAGGTGAGTTTGCTGCCTCCTTCTCCCTGCCTCCTTGGCAGTTTCCATGGCGATGATGCTGATGCCATCATTTTAGTGGCTCATGTCTTTAAGGATGTAAAGCCCTTGAGAAATTTGAGGGAAAACGTCAATTATTTCCTCCTCATGGGGTAGAGCCCCCAGATTTTTGCATATAGCTGCTTAGTAGGTTGTGGATTGTAGAGGTTGGCCCACTGTCCCCTGGGGCTCAAGAGACCTCAGGCTAACCCAGCACCCCTCCCCCTTATTAGAGCATGCCCTTGCTCCTGCCTCTGCCCCGTGAAAAATGCTAATGCGCAGGTAGCCAAGACAGAGTCTGCACTTAAGTATGGACAAGGGAATAGAAGAACTTTGAAGACATCTCCAAGTTCCATGGGAAGAACACTCCACCAGTGTTCTGCGTAGAACCCCCATTCACAAGTGATAAGAGCTGGATTGCTGTTACAAGAAGGGTGGGCCCCTTAGGGCAGGCCTACCCTGGCCAACCTTTTCCAAGGCCAGCACCTGGGAAGGCACAGTGATGGAGCTGAGGGAGAAGCAAGGTAGTACCAGGCCCCAGGGCCAAGGCAGCAGGTGCCAGCTCTGGTCCTCCTCCTCCCTTCCCTCCGTGATCAGATTAGGGCTTCTTTTCTTCTGACCCCTAGGATTGCAGTGCATAAGCATCTTGCAATCATTCACTATGTCCCAAGGTTTGTTGTTCAAGCTCTGGGGACTGTTTTCTGTTACCACCAGGATCAGGACAGTGCCTGCCTGAAAGCGTTTCCTTAGAGTTTGTCTAAGTGCTAGGCACGGGGTGCCTCTCGGTATTGTTGGTTGGTTCTTCAGGCGATGAGTCAGAGTTGGTAAGTTGCTACAGAAACACTCATCCAGCATAGTGTCCAGCCTCATCTCCTGATCACCCCTGCCCAGTCCCTTCACAGAGTGGCCCTGATAATCCACTTAGTCCCAGCTTTTCACTTCCTCCTCTGGAACTTGTGGGAGGGGGCGGGGGAAGCAAAACAACTCACAGAGCAAGCGTCAGGCTTACCCAACTGGTACCGCGTGCCCGGAGCCCGCTTAGTTGTGTGAGGTTCTCAGCACTGTTACAGAGTTAGTCTTCTCATTGCTATGGCAATAATCTGACAGAGGCAACTAGGACATGGGGTGGGGCTTATCTGGCTCGAAGTTTGAGGGTTCAGTCCATCATGGTGGGGAAGCAGCAGAGGCGGGAGCTTAAGGCATCCGGGTCATGCCGTTTCTGAGTTCAGAAAGCAGGGAGAGAGAGAAAGGCTGGTACTCAACTTACTTACTATCTCCTTTGCCTTCAGTTTGGGACCTCAAACTCATACAACGGTACCTCCCAAATTGGGTTGATTCTTCCAACCTCACTTAAACCAATGTGGAGGCTCCCACACAGGGATGCCCTTGTTTCCTTGGTGATTCTAAATTCCATCAAGCTGGCAGTATTAGGGATCGGCATGGCTTTAAGGAGGAGGGATGATTTTTAATCTATGTTTGCATACGGAAACTGAGGATTTGGGGGAATAGGATATTCACCCAGGAGGAGGAGGAGAAGTTGGGGTCTTCATTGACTTGGAGAAGGGACACAATAAAAAAAAAACATGGTGTCTTCCACCTCACCTGCCCTGGTTCTCCATGTCTCTTGACTTTGGAGACAGACAGCAGCAATCAGACTTGGCTAGGAGCTAGCAGGAAGGGAGAGGTCTGAATGTTTCTGGGAAAGGCCCAAGGTGCCCTGTCACTGAGAACTCACTTGCTGCCGCGGGCAGGTGGCTCCTCGTTGAGATGCCTCTAGGCGCCAGGTCTCTCAGCCTTTCTCTGCAGATCTTCCTGGGCCAGGAGAGGGACATCTGCAACCAGATCAAATTTCTAGGCACAGTGACCAGGAGCCCTCCAGCAGCTGCCAGCAAGCCAGCCGCATGCCTTAGGAGTGTCTGAGATCCTAGGGCAGCTGACTTGCCTCTGCCCCAGGCTCCTGAGTCTATTTTTACATGGCCTTGAGGGCACACACATGTTACAGAAGCATGAAGGAATGAGGGAAAACTCAGAGGCCACTCAGAGTTTATAGCAAAGTAGGAAGAAGCCAGGATCAAGAAGCACCCATAGTTTCCTACCCAGTGGCCTTCCCGCCATCCTGGTTGATTTGGGCTATTAGCATTTTAAAGGTGGTAGCAGTCTCCATGTCTGTATCTCTCTCT